CGCGAGGGTTGCAAATCCGCTACTAGGAAGGCGCAGAGCGAAATCTAGGTCAAACGGGCGGATTACACTTGGCGCGCAAGGATACCCGGAAGTAAGGTTCGGAGCCAAAAGAAATTTTCACCCCAAAATCACCATTTCTTACACTCTTCAGCCATGTTAAAGTTTAATGATACTTCGTGGCAGTTTATTAGAAATGTCACCTCAAACTTGGACCCTCAAAACCCTTTCGTCACTTTTTTTACAACGGACTATCGCGTCGCGGAAGAACTGGGGTGTGCACCGTTTAGTGCATGTTCCTCAAGAAAGAAAATTACTCCGCACGTGTAGGGTCTTAAAGAGTCCCGACAAAAATAGATCGTGTCCGAACAGCGTGAGTTTAGGTCCACCATAAAATCCCTTTCATCCCTCAGACCTGATCTAAAAAGAATTTGAGATGAAAGCCTGTTTATTACTGACAGGATCAGGCAGGGAAGTTTCGGCGTCCGGGCGATTGTCGGACGTATACGCTTATTTTGACCTGAGTACTGCGGTGGGGCACAGTGAGCCAAAAGAGGGCCTCTTGCTGGTCATGGGTAATTGCCATACTAGCAGTGTGTACACCGACGTATTTATTTTGGTACTTCTTTTTTAGATAATTTTTTTTCTTGTGCAAATTATGCTCAGAAAGGCCCAGTTTTCTGGTAAGAAGGACAGAAGAATGTATATTTTTAAAATATGGCCAAAAAATCTGACATTTTTCATGGTTTGACCTGTTATTAGCCTTTAAAAACTTGTGATCTTGTTACCTGCTATTAGCTGCGTGTATTAGCGATGGCTTGGGGATTTATCTCCCTTTTGTGTATTTGAGGATTTACAGATGAGTTTTTGATAGCCTATAGTCTGTCAACAGCATAACTTGAGAAAGCTTAGGTGGATTATCTTGATATTTGGTAGGTGGGTAGGTCTTGATGAGACCTGGAAATGATTAGACTTTGGACCCCCTAGCGGCTTGTTGTGGTACTGCAGCTGAACTTCCAGTTTTCATATCTCATGATCTACACATGCTGGGGTGACGAAATCTGGATGGTAGGTAGCTCTTTTGCTGGGGATGAAGTGGCGTGAGCTTGGGCCCCCTAGCGGCTTGCTCAGGAACTGCAGGGCTATCTGTTTAAAAATAGTCAAAAGAGGATAACTCAAGAACCGGTGGACGGATCGTCGTGATTTTTGGTATGTAGGTAGCTTACGTAATGGTCGGTATGATTATGCGGCAATTATGCAAATCTGGATGTAATTTGCATAATTAATGGAGAAATTCTATAAATTAGCTGCATTACATTGTAGGACTATTCAAGCTTGTGACATGTAATTGAGAACGAGAGAAACACAGGCAGATATTTATTATGTAAATTAATACTTAATTTGCATAATTAATGAGAAAATGTAATAATTCCATAATGCTAACTGCCTCGAATTTCATACTTGGGGTTGCTGGTGTCTTTTCTAAATTTAAAACGACTAGTGTTACTGCAGTAACGTACGGACCTCCTAAGACGCCCATTTCCGAACTTGATCTTGCTATCGTCAACGGTAACTTGCTCGAAAAAAATCGTGAACATCCATTTGCAGATTCTCGAATTATCCCGCTAACAACAATAACGACCACCACAAAAGTTCAAATTCAATAACATGGGAACCCCCCACGAGGCCCATATCCGAACTTGACCTTGGTATTTTCAATGGTAACTTGCCAACTAAAAACCATGAACATCCATTTAAAGATTCTCGAGTTATCTTGTACACAAGAAAAAACACAAAAACAAAGGTCAACTGCAGTGACATAGAAACCCCCACGGGGCCCATCTTTGAACTTGACCTCGGCATTCTTAACGGTAACTTGCCCACTAAAAATAATGAACATCCATTTAAGAATACTCGAGATATCTTGATGACAAGGAAAAAACACCAAAAACCAAGGTCAACTACAGTGACTTAGGAACCCCCCACGAAGCCCATTTTTAGCCTTGACAATGGCCACCCCCAAATCAACCTGCCTGCCAAAAATCGTGAACCTCGGACCATGCCTTCAAACTTTACCGTGCACAATCTACAAACCAGGCCGAAATCGATTTCATAGCCTTCTCGTCGAAGGCAATTATACAAAATGTAAAATAACGATAATAACGATAGTGGCTGTAGCTAGGAAGGAGAAATGATGGATGAATAATTTCGGCCATAACGGGGGTCTCGTCACACTTCTGTATATCCTCATTGCGTATGTCAGTTCAGTTCAGTTTATCCTTCAGGTGACACTATGTACTGTCTCCTAAAGTTCCTGTCACGCATGACAGAGGACAGTTCAGCACCTCCCAGACCTATGTCCTCCTCAATTACTTTCTTCAGAGTTAAAGAAGGGCGACCACGTCTCCGCTTTTCCGTTGGTGACCATAGAAGTTAGCCTCCTTCGCAGTCTTGTTGGGAGTCGGCGTTATGTTTTCTCTGAGCAACGCGAGTAATATGCCGCCGCGAGGGACGATTTGCTGCCGAGGAAGTTTTTGCCACAGAGAGAAGGTCTCTTGTTGGAGCGCGAAACCTTCTCTCCGTGGCAAAAACTCCCTCGGCAGCAAATCGTCCCTCGCGGCCGCATATATTACTCGCGTTGCTTAGAGAAAACATAACGCCGACGCCCAGGAAGACTGCGAAGGAGGCTAATAGAAGTACCAACCCTGCCATCTCTTCATGTCGCATGACATGACCGGCCAGCGACTGTCTACGGCTGCGGATGACTGTTGTAATCCTAGGCATATTCCCATAAAGTTGGTTGTTTGCCACGTGACTCCTCCATGAAATGTTGAGGGCTGCACGCAGCAGACAGGCGTAGTTCCCATCCAGAAGTTTACATAAGGATGCTGTCAGAGACCACGAGTCAGCTCCGTAAAGCAGGATTGACTCAACACAGGTTTTAAAAACGTATGCGTATGAGTTGCGTACTAGTACTCCTGACATTTCTGTCATATGCAACCGTACGCACGATACAAGTCATACGCATCTCAATACTTCTCGACCTTAAATCACAAATCCCGAAACAATTGTAACCCCTTTAGAAAATGAAAGACGCACACTATTTCAAGAACTGAAATTGTTGTTCTTACCTTAAGGCTTATCTGCGGTGGTAGAAGCCAATATTATGTGTTTTAATCCGCACCTCACCATTCCACTTCCCTCTACCGTAGTAGCGCGCGGCCTGCTGAAGTCCACGCGTATCCAGAACCGTGCTTGGGGCTTAGATATGCGGAGACCAACCGTGTCTGATCCTAGCTGTAACCCAGTCAGGTGTAAATGTAGAACTACATAGGCACCGTTATGGATACGAAAGGGTTAGTAAGCATTATTGATCCTGTATCTTCCTTGTTACAGAACTACCCGTGGTACAAACTGCGTGTCCGGCGGGCTACCAAAGGTTCCAGGAAAACTGCTTCAAGGCCTTCCCCCAAACCAAACCTGACTACACCTGGGCCATGAAGGCCTGCTTGAAAGACGAAGGTTTTCTGGCCATGCCGAAAGACGCCGCCACTAACGCGTTCCTGGTCCAGCTGAAGAATGCAGTACGAAACGATGCCGGTTTCTACATCGGACTGAGTGATCAAAACGCCGAAGGACAATGGCGCTTTGCTGACGGAACCGCATTAGGTACATGTACTTCCAATAATCAGCTGTTTGACTGATCTATTATCATTCTAGCGACAGCTTTGAAGGGTTTAACAGTGAAACCTTACCATGATCACATAGCCAGGAAAGGGTGGTCAGGCGGGAGTCGAAAAACATGGCCGTAACAACGGACTCAACGCATAGCTGCCAGACGGGAGGCAGGAGGCTGCAGGGTCCTTTCCCCGAGTTGCTAAGGACCGTGCTAAGAATACTAATAATAAAGATCGTCGTTAAGCTTAGAATCATGTAAAAATGTCAATGATGCATTTTGTACTTTACGTCCTAGTAACACACTACCAACATGAAGACTGAAGGACTTTGAGTTCCGGGTTCGAGTCCTGACATGCCACCGATCTTGTGCCCTTGGGAAAGGCACTTTACACGGCTTTCCTCACTTAGCTCAGGTGTAAATGAGTATTGTCCTGTCATGTATTTGTCCCCTGTGTTGGTGGCGGCATTAATATAAGTTGAAAAAACTTGAGTGTGTCGCCCCCACGTCTGGTGATTACATGTTGGAAATAAAAAAAAAAAAAAAAAGAACTGAAGGACACTGTATTAGAAGATATTTCACTTGCTGCTCTAAACACTTTCTGTTCTTTCCACAGGTTCCTACAAAAACTGGAACCCCGGGGAACCAAACAATAGAGGGAACGAGGACTGCGCCACTTTGCTGCCGGGATATGGAGGCAAGTGGAACGTCGTACCTTGCTCCAGCGATCGACGGTATATCTGCCAAGTCACACCAATCCGTAAGTTCCTCCAACTGTAAGGTTTATTCTATCCAGAACCGTGCCTATCTAGTTCTTTGCTTAAATGGGTAAATGTTAGGATCAGGCACGGTTCTTGATATTCTCCGCGCATCCGAGCACAGATATGCGCTAGGCACGATTTTTGGTAGGCGTGAACTATCCAGAAGCGTGGACGAGTATGATTCTGGATTAAGTCATATCTCACAGAACTGAAAATGTTTGGAACCTCATCATGTGACGGAAAATTTCATTTTGTTTTATAAAGCCACACCGACTTGATTTTGTGAATGACATCCTCTGAAGGCCCCCAAACTAGTGCGCGCGGGCGAATAAAAAAAATTCACCCAAAAATAGAATTGCTACTAAACCACATGAATACAAAGCTGGTACTGTGAATTTGCGGCAGTATATGTTGGCCTTTTGCGGAATTTATGAACCGGCACTGTGCGCATACATGTACTGAGTTCTGTACTGAGTCTTGGAGCTTCGGTAGCCTGGGTGCCGTCCTCCGGAGTTACCACCGGCTCCGTATTGTCGCTAGCTACCATGGACTAGTCAGGCCTAGAGCCAAGCCAGAGGCTTGGAGGACGTGATCATCTTGTTAGAACAGGCGAAAATCAATGCGCGCGCGGATGTACATTTTGAATTCCTAAGCCCTGGTATGGCTAATTACCTGACATTTAGCATGAAAGTGTCTAGGACATAGGCCTACATTTCATTTTGGTATTGGTAATTTTGAAACAGTTCTACAAAACGTTTGTAAATGTAAATTGTTCCTTAAGTAGATGGACAGTAGTATGCTAAATTTGCGCGCATTTCTAGTGGGCAATATGTTGCCACCAATGCTTCCACCATATGTTGTTCTTATTTTGTTGTATGCAAATTGCAGGAAATCTCAGAGCTGGCGCTTCGTTTATTCCTCATCAAATTGGTTTTCATTTTTTTCATATTTTAGCTAGACCTAATGTCCTTGTGCGTTTGTGGACAAATGTTAATGTGCATGTGTTGGTGAACGTTTGACTTAGTTTCATGACTGATTGGTTGATACCTCGTATCTTGCAGATCCTGGCTGCTCACAAAAAGCAACGGACACCACCTACAGGTACCGATGGGATTTGCCGCAGCTTACGGGAACGGGCTTCACTTTTCAAGTCTCTGCCTACAAAGCTGCCTTCATCGGCCTGTCACCAGAAAACCACGACGTTACCGACATGTACGAAATCGTCATCGGTTTATGGAGCAATACAAAGTCAGCCATACGCCGAGAGAAGAGGGGCGAAAATCGCGCACTAGTCTCGACACCAGGTCAGCTTTTGAATCTCTTTGATTTAGGTCTCACAATGCCCTTCAATTGCTGCCATTCACGTATGGTAAATTATCAATTGGCTCTGCAAGATTAAAGCACAAGTTCAATGTATTATCGTTTTATGAATATACAGTTGTGAGGATTCCTTCACTACATATCCTGAAACTAATAATGTTTACCCTCTCTACAGCTATCATCTCTCCAACAGAATACAGGACCTTTTGGATAAACTTGGCCCCAGACGGAACCATTTCTGTTGGAAAGGGTGGCGTCTCTCAGCCATTTATGTCGTGGAGGGATCCCAACCCGCTACGCGTTTCTTACGCTGGCTACTCTACAGGCTGGGGGGCCACTGGACGTTGGAAGTTCTGTTCCAACGAAGGTCAGTGGTTGGCTAAAAGATGATACAATCAAAGGGTCCATTATTTGTAAAGGAACTGAAGTGGCCATCGCATGTCTGAGACTCTATGAGATCGTGGAAGTCTAGTTTAATTTTCTTTCCATTTCAATGACTACAAAAAGAAATCATTATTTCAAATTTATCCTCCAAAAGTGCATTGGTCTTATAACTAAGGGAAATTTGCATAACCAATTGTAAATGATTCATAATGAGTCAGAGAGATTGATATGATTTGACGAAGGCTTACACCACTTCGAAATGATTTATTTGGGATTCTTCGCTGTTTTAGATAAAATGTATATTTTGAATTCCTGTGCCTGGTATGACTTATTACCTGACATTTAGCATGAAAGTGCCTAGGACATAGGCCTACGCCACTTTATAGTGAGTCATTTGGGAATTTTTGCTATTTTCACACACACACACACACACACACACACACACACACACACAGAGACACACACACACATACACACATACACACACACACACACACAGACACATACACACACAGACAGACATACACACACACACACACACACACACATACGGGGATAATGGGAGTTCGGTTCTTGCATGTAAGGTTAACATTCAAAAAATTTCATTTTAGTGTTAGTAATTTTGAAACATTTATGCAAAACGTTGATCTGTAGACTTCCATTGCTCCTTGGGTACATTTTTTTATAAACGAATGCTGAATTTGCGCGCATTTCTAGTGGGCAATATGTTGCTACTCATGCTTCCACCGCCACCAAAGAAAGCGAATCTTACGTTGTTTACTAAGTATGCTAATGCAAGAAATCTCAGAGCTGACGCTTTGTTTAATAGATACGTTGCTCAGCAAATTGGTTTTAGGAGGAGCACGTATATCGGTGTAATGAGGGTACACTGTGAGTCGTATGTGATGCATTGCACTATGAAGTGTTACTAGTCAGGCTGAACACGTCAAGTATTCTGTATCTCACCTGACGCGAATTTAGCAAGAGGTAAACAGTTTGTTGTTTTTTTTTTCTTGACACGGCAGTTATGCCAAAATGCCTCGTCATATCTCTGTATATCCTCATTGCGTACGAGTTGCCAAGTGACATTTCTTTCATAATTATCATACAGCCGTATGCACAATACACGCAATGTGCATCTCAATCGACCTTAAATCACAAATCCCGAAACCATTTTAACCCATTTAGAAAATGAAAGACAAGACACACAGTATTTTAGAACTGGAATATTTAGGGATGGTGGAGTCATAGGGACACAAATATCTATTAAAGCTGGTTAACTATCATTGTTTTCCTTTGTAGCGCATTTACTGCCACAAGTACAAGGTAAGTCTTTAGATTAATTTACTATATTAGCAATCATAACTTTACTTGTACTAACGTGTGGTTGACCTTTCCCATTCAATGAACTGATCATCACGTAGCAAATTGGACTTAATGAACAACTTTCTTTCATTTCATCGTTCATGGTGCGATTACATGTATATAAGCAGAGCAGTGGTTTGTTCAGCTTGACCATGTGATGAGGTAAACATTATGCCTTAATGTTACCTTTCTCCAAGTTAAGTGTGTATCATCCCCTGAGTCTTGTTTCGTCCGGCGTAGTAACAGCCAATCCCAACTCCTCGTGCCCTGTTGCCGTCGGAAATCCATCCCCAGCTGCCCTGATCGCAGTGAGCGTTGTTGCAGGAGTGGCGATCGTCCTGGCTGTGGCAGCGTCCATTCTGTAGTAGGTGGAAAGTTTCTATCAGATTAGTTTCAGCGAAGCATGGTGAAAATGTCTACGTAATAAATTGAATAACCGGCCTTGACTTTCATTAACTGCAATTATTCAAAAGTGCTATAAAGTAAGCATTACTTGATAATGTAAACATTACTGGCATTCACTATTAAATCTATAACTTTTGGTGCAGTGTCCACACAGATCTTTATGCTTTTCAGCATAGGAAAACGGCTCGAGCTGAGGAAGTTCCATTCTGATCAGCCACTGCTTGGTCGCGACGCGAGCTACAGGAGCATCCCCGGGCATCAGTATGAGACGATCCCGGGCACAGTCCGTGGTCCTCTGCCCATTCCGGCTGCCAGGGTGCCGCCGGCTGTGAGACACACCGACATAGAGCTACAGGCCAGGGCCATGGGACCTGACATAGGTCGCCAGGGGGAGGGCGAAGGAGGCAGGAAGAGACGGCATCAAATGGTAAACACAGATAACCATCCATAAACACCTGTACTTTGTACATACATGTACTTTTTTCTGGTCTCATCAGTTATGTGTACACTTGTACACATTTGTGACGCCGGGAGACCATGGATTTCGCGCCATGGATCAGTTATACAAATGGTTACTGGCTAACTGTTCTACGTGACTAGAAACATGTCATCCTGTCTATGTTAAACCTTTACTGTCACCAGCATTTCTCGCAGGATGTGGGACGAACATCTCAGCCCAGTATTTACTGAGTAACGGCGAACACCGTTATCACATCTCAGCCCAGTATTTACTGAGTAACGGCGAACACCGTTATCACATCTCAGCCCAGTATTTACTGAGTATTTACGGTGAACACGGTTATCCAGTTACTACAGTGATTGTACGCTATGTGTATCGGGTGCAATGTACAATATGCTAGGTGCCTCTGATGTCTGCATCAGTTGCCAAACATGTTCTTTGCTGTCACCTTGTCTTTGTTATAACTTTACTGTCACCAACGCTTCTCTTAGGATGTGGGGAGAACATCTCAGCCCAGTATTTTCTGAGTAACGGTGAACACCGTTATCCAGCTACTCCTGTAAACGCTATGTGTATCAGGTGCAATATGCTAGCTGACACTGATGTCTTCAATGCCTTTGATTTGAAGGATGCGTCTTAATCGACTTAACCGGGTTTCTCATTGTACAATGTGTAGCTTTGGGTGGAGGTATCTGTGCAACAAGCAGATATATTGCCTTTAATTCAGAACATGCCTCATCCCGATGTGGAACTTTCCTAACTCGTTTCTTACTACAGACACGTCCAGAAGTTTCTCTGAAATTGAGAGCGACTTTCTAGGTCACACCAACGTATAGAAAGACGTGGTTGTATCAATTTATGATTTGAAAACCGTGGTTTTGAAATCATAATTTAACGAGCGGAAAATCTTCGTTGATTTTCAGACCAAGGACACTCGCGGTGGCCCACGGGATACCAACGCCGGAGGTCCTATTGGCGGGATGCACCATTCCCCTCGGCCAAGGGGGACCAGGTATGTGTAAACCTTATGCTGCAATGTTGGCCAAATGTGTCTTTTGAACTGGTGGTACTGGTGTAGTAAAATATAAATGGAGTACATAGAGTTGCTGGGTACGATATCATTACACGTGGGAACACTGATATGATGTAGCTGACCATAAAGCATGTAATTGCTAGTAAGTGTCTTTTGCTGAGAAGTGTCTTATGCCGACACGTGTCTTTTGACAAGTCTCTTTTGCCGACAAGTGTCTTTTGCTGACAAGTGTCTTTTGTAGACAAGTGCCTTTGGTTAAAAAGTGTCTTTTGTCGACAAGCTTCTTTTGCTGACAAGTGTCTTTTGTCGACAAGTGTCTTTTGCTGACAAGTGTATTTTGTCGACAAGCTTCTTTTGCTGACAAGTGTCTTTTGCTGACAAGTGTCTTTTGCTGACAAGTGTCTTTTGCTGACAAGTGTCTTTTGCTGACAAGTGTCTTTTGCTGACAAGTGTCTTTTGCTGACAAGTGTCTTTTGTCGACAAGCTTCTTTTGCTGACAAGTGTCTTTTGCTGACAAGTCTCTTTTGCTGACAAGTCTCTTTTGTCGACAAGTATCTTTTGCAGACAAGTGTTTTTTCCAATATCATTTCAGGGTCCCTGTGGGATCTCCATGGACCCTTGAGCCCGACTGTGACACGAGCGGAGGTTACGTGTTCGAGAATGACGGTGAGAGCGACACGGATGTGGAGTAGCTACAAAGGCATCCCGGGTCGTGTGGTGTGTCCCAACCTGTGCCTGTCCCAACCCGTGCCTGTCCCAAACCGTGACTGTCCCAACCCGTGGCTTTCCCAAACCATGCCTGTCCCAACCCGTGCCTGTCCCAACCCGTGCCTGTCCCAACCCGTGCCTGTCCCAACCCGTGCCTGTCCCAACCCGTGGCTTTCCCAAACCGTACCTGTCCCAAACCGTGCCTGTCCCAAACCGTGCCTGTCCCAACCCGTGCCTGTACCAAACCGTGCCAGTCCCAAACCGTGCCTGTCCCAAACCGTGGCACAGTGTGCACAGTAATGATTACTTTAAAACGTCATCATCAGTCCCTCTCAGCTGTGTTTTGTGTATGTGTGAATCCATATTAGTTCCACCATTTCCCAGAATCATGGTGCCATGGTCAATATGCCATAACCAATACTATGAAATCGTTGTAGTCTGATATGTGTCATAAAACATGATGACCAGTTTACGAGTTAACTTTCTTATAGAAAAGCGCTGGCGGGTGCCACTCTGCGAAATTAAAGATTTGGCAACTTCGACATGTGAAAAAAAAAAGAAATAAAACACACAAAAAGAGCATCGCAAAGTTCAATCGGAATCATTGACATTCTCTAGCTTATGAAACGCCGTTCGAGAATTATAGCAGCATAATAAGATGTTATTGGACTCCATGACATTTTCAAACTGATGCGAAAACCACTAAATAAAGAACAAGAGCTTGTACTGAGACGTGTAATTGGAATCGGTGTCATTTATGATTTAGAAGACTTCCTTTGTACACATAAAGTGCCTTAATAGAATAAGCATCGACTGGTATAATTAGAATCGGTGATATTTACAAGGGTTATGAGATTCATTTAAAGCTGGGTTCCGGAAAGCAGCCGTAAAATAGAGGCTTAACAGGAGAAAATACTGTTGAGAATTTTCATGATGTAGTAATGAGAGAGGCAATTTTATCGTCCAGTAGAAAAACAAACTTGTATTAGATTGGAATTAAAAATAGTTCTTATCATTCTCTTGTCAGTGGATTAGGCCATGTTGATTTGATTATATGGATGACATCCTCTGGGAACCCCAAAACTGATGCGCGCGTGCGAATAAAAAAAAGTTTTGCAAAAAAAAAAGTTGCTTTCACTATGAAATCTACGTGGTCATGAAGATTGAACAAATGGCACAGAATATGTTATGGCGAATAATGTACTCTTCGAATTCATTTCTTTACATTTTTGTCTTTTTTCCTTTGATTTTGGCATTCTACGACATTGGTATCGTTTCTAAATATTTTCCTTGCAACTTATGGTATATTTTTGCCCATTTAGCAACTGTTTTGCACGATTTACAGTATGGTTGAAAACTTTTTTTTTGGAAATGGCCAAAAATTCATGCGCGCGCGGATGTCATCCATATAATCAAATCAGCATGGCCTTACGGTTAGGACAAAGAGTTTCTTATCTAGCAATAAGCCACATGTTCTCATATCATATAGCATTAGCAAACAACCATGTAACCGGAAAAACGTGAATTCGTTTATATGTGTTTTAATAAAATAGATTCATCATGTTAACTTTAGATTTTGGTGTAGTGTAGAACATTTGCTTTGTATTATACTTCCTGACATAAGTTGCAATGCCTTCTGAATGCGAATGCTAATTCGGAATGCCTTTTGTGCATGAACATGCAATAAATGTTAGCATGAAAGTTCATCTGAGTTGGTAAATTACATTATGAAAAACTTAAACTGTTCTCCAACTCAAAAAATGACTCACCAGAAATTTTCGACTGAATCACTCAGTCTTCCTCAGCTATCTGACCCAAATGCTGTGGACACGTGATTTTCCCACGTGTGACGTCAGCAAAGGGTCAAAGGTTGTCAGAAGTCGATATCGCCCCCCGTCCCGGTTGAGCGATGGTTGAAGTGCCCTGATGTATATGGCCTCTTTTATGCCTCTCTTGAAGTAATCCTGTTCGGTATCCAAGATTCCGACCCCCTCTAAATCTACTGTGTGTCCCGGTGATTCTATGCGGATGTGCTGTGACACCTCAGATGCAACAGAACTTGGTCGTCTATGTTCTAGAAACCTGGTTTTTAGTGAGCAATCAGTTTCCCCGATATAAGTTTCCCGACAGGGGCCTCTGTTGGTGTTTCCCTGGCAACTGTCGGTTTGTCATTGCTGTGTTTTCTACTGATTCGGGATCGGGCATGGTTGTAGTATCCAGAACCGTGCTTCACCATGCTCAATAGCGATATCCAAAACCGTGCCTGAGACAAATATACGTTCTTTGAGACTATTAATATTTATATACGTGGAGACTATCCAGAACCTTGCCTGATCCTAACCCTAGCCCATTCGGGCTTAGAACAAGATAGGCACGGTTCTGGATACAATATTGGTGCCTGCAACGGCCACAAAACTGTTGTAAGGCCTGCACCCTAGCGTTTTGCAACAATGCAACAATTACCCGACCATTTTCCGCAGCCTCCTGTGGACTTCTTCCTTCTATTCAAGACATTTCTATAAAGACCATCCTATTTCACAGGGGAGGGGGTCGATACCAGGAGACCTCGCGTTACTGACCGCGTAAAAATGATAAATACGGTATTAGTAGCAGGCTTCCACAAGGGTACATTCATCGGTTACGGACTCAAGTGCATTGAACTATTGAACCCATAGTGAACTATTTGAAGTTCCAAAAAACTAGCGTTAAACACCATCCAATTTTTTTGCTGACAGACTTATTTCATGCACGCTCGTCCCCAGCGCCATAGGTTATAGATCGTGGCTTAGCCCAGGCTATGGAAAATAAACTTTCTTTAATGCAAATCTGTCGTTTTTTTCTTTGCGCTTTCTAAAGGGTTATGATAACCTACTCTACTCTGGCGGTATTGTCGTGCGCGCTCGCTAGTACGTAACGTTACACGGCGGCCATCTGAATATACATGTACACTGCATTCTTTCTACTATCGGGACCTAAAACAAAACGCAAGATTCCTATTTTGGGGTATAAAATGCTGTCACAATGGTAATATATACCAAATGAAACGGACCTTTACAAAGTACCTCATTTGGTGACGCTATGAGGGTGTACCATTACCCCTCTACATTTGCCCAGAAGGGAGTTAGTCGCGAAAGGAACTTAGCCACGGGGGGAGTTTGGGCATTCTCCAGGACAGTTCACTCTGCTACCCAGCATGCTTTGCGCAAAATGCGTTCTCGGCCCCAGGACACAAATACACGCTAATGCTTCCGCACTGTGTTGCTCTGGGGACCCCGCTGCGCGCCCAGATGTGGATTTAATTATAGCGCGCTAGCGGACGCTGCGGAGGAGCGTGTATTTCATGTGTTAGATCTAACCCGTGTTCTCTTGACATGCGGTTTTACAAGTCACATGAATAATTCCCGTCCTTCAGGGTTTTTTACTCCGTGAAGGAGGTCAGGACCTCCGGACGGAGTGTTGTGAACGGCTGATTTTTCATTTTCGCAGTCAAAACACTGGGTTCTCTTTGTGTAATCGGCACGCAATTTTATACGCCGTCTGCGGGCATGCCCGTGTTGATGCACGAATGTGTGTTTTTGCCGTTGCTGCTTTCGCGGTCAATGTAATATTGCAGACGCACCCTTACAATTACGAGGCGAATTGGACTGGTCCAGAAAAACGCGTTGTTTGGAATAGCAGTGAGGGGTGGAACTTCATGCAGATACGGGGTGGTTTCTATAAGTGGTTCCAGATGTTTTTGCCCATGGTTAAGAGATGGCAAGTTTTTTTGAAGATGTTCGCAGCCAAAACGCATTCTTCCGTACGTCGCATTTCTGTGTAATTTCGCATGTGGTGTGGCATTATGTCCGGGATGATGCACGTCTTTTTATTTTTACCGTAGCTGTTTTGATATTGGAGTAAATGCTTATTTTCAAAGCATCCCCATGTCGTTGAAATGTTTTCGTCCGGCCGTTTATGTGACCGGTAGTTGTAAGTCGAGATCATGCTGATGGGGACGGAAATGTGGGGTGGTCAGTGGTCAACATTACGAAATGTAAATACCGATGACGTAATCCTATCGATTTCAAACTGGTCGGCTGTGGCGACCTAGTGGCGGCGTGTATTTAGTCACGTAGCAACTGGCCGGTCGTCCTAGCAACGAGCATGCTGGCCACTCCACTGTACACATGGCCAATATTTTTGGGTTGGGCCGCTCCATAGTGTTTAAATATAATAGTGGAGCAGCTCTTTGCAAAAATGGACAATATTTTTGAGCAACCCATCAATGTGTTCTCGGCCTCGTGGTCGGATGTGGTCTGGGGCTGGTAAACCGCACATACTAGTAGATCGGGTAATTTTATGATTTGCTAGTTGTAAAGGCGTCTTGTAGTATGAGCCGGTATATGAAGAAGTAGCTTGTGTTACACAATCATGCTTTCGGCCGGATGGATGTGCAACTGTTACTAATTACAGGGGCTGCGCTAATGCCGACCAGTCGCGCTGTCCTGATACACCGCAAATGTTGGGCAACATGCGAGTGTTCCCTGTAGACAGTCCCGGGAGTCATTTTTTTCGCACATTCGCACATTCCAGGAGCCAAACCAAAATACGTTCATGAACCGAGTCCAAAAAACCGAAACATGAAAATCGGATGATCGGACCTGATGTACATTTCTCTTTCTGTAGATTGTACACACAATACACACATCTTTAGATAATCTTGCCATGGCAGGTAAAAAAAAAGTAACCCTGAAAAGTAACCATACTAGATTAGCGTAAATGCATGTTTATGCGTTCAAAACAAGAAAAGAAATTGTTTCCCGGTATTAATCTCTTGAAACACGGCGCTGAATATTGACGCAACAATATTTTGGGCATCGCGCGCCCTTCCCCGTTGTTTAGACTGTATGCAAATCCCGCGTCACGTGTCGGCATTTCGCATCTCTGATTGGTTGTTGCGTCTTAAGATGACTGAGCCGACGTGCGTTTAAACAATTTTTCTTTG